ACTCAGGGCCTACACCTTGATCCACTCCACAATCCCTTTTATGTGATGGGTTTTTCCGAGATACGGTTTTACAAACTATTTGCCAGGGGTTAGCTTCAAACTATGATCCTCCTGATCTCTGCCTCCTGAGTAGCTAGGATTACAGGTGTGAACCCCAGTGCCCAGTTAGGGAATAAATAAATTCTTGAGAGCAGATGATATATTAGTAAAGGAGATAAAGTTTTTAATAGGAACAGGAATCTACAGGTAATCTACATTTCTATGCCAAAAGCTTCCTATGGTACTGAATGGACAGGGAGGCTTTTACTAGAATTATATGATATGACAAGTAAAAGGGTAAAATTCATGAGAAGTAAATATTATCCTTATTAACTTTTGCATGAATATGATGGACAATATAGATATTTAAAGAGAAAATTGGGTTGGGCTTGGTGGTACATGCTTGTAATTCCAGCTACATGGGAAGAATAGGTAGGAAGATTAAGGAACAAGGTTAGACCCAGGCAAAAAGCACAAGACTCCTTCTGAAAAGCAACTGAAATAAAAAATGGCTGGGGTGTGGCTCAAGTGGTAGAGGCCTGTGTAGCAAGAGTGAGGCCCTAAGTTCAAACACCAGTTCCAACCTTCCCCCCAAAAAACACAGAAATTTTGGGGAAAATCAGAGATTTTTCTAGCTGGACTAAATTCTATAAAAAATCATTTTAGTTTGCTCATTCTGGAAAATAATTTTTTTAATAGGAAACATTTCTATTATAGTATTATATAGTTCAGATCACTAAAAATTAAGTACTATTCATAGAATTTTGGTATGAGAAAACTACTTGAGAACCTTTTATCAGTCAGAACAGAGGCAAAACTATTTCATGACAAAACATCTAAAAATTAATGTCTCAACTCTATCAGAGACTCCTTACAACTACGAATCTTTCCCAGTCATTGCTAGTGCTTATAATCAAGGAGCAACTAAAATTTATTTTCTTTTCATTTAATTATTGTGCTTTTGGAACAGATAGGTTGCGTTCTCTGCCATTTACAAACTCAAGGATTTAATTTAGCATTCAATCATTGAATGAGATGGTATGCTAACTTTTTATATGAATTCATCATTTCTTATCTTTCCAAAAGAACAAAATGGCCTGTATGTCATAACCACTGTTGTTTATTTTTTTGGAAGGTTTTTGTTTAAATTTCTATAACTCATCCTGGATTGTCAATCTGTCCTCAAAATACAGTGTGACCAGTTTTCTATTCCAGACCCTGTAAGAGCCCATAGCTGCAATTGTGACATTTGTATGGCAATTAATTTCACTCCCTGTTATATTAAAACTTCAGTCCTTATAATATCACTTTCCAGGGGGTTGGGCATTATCACTCTCAATTCTTACTGCTCTTTTGAAAACCTGGAGCTTTGGGATTGGGTTTCAGAATTTGTTTATCTCAAATTTTTTTTCTTTCTCCTCCCATTCCTTTGTCTTTCTGTCCTTCCTGCCATTCATTCCTTACTTCCCTCCTCTCTTTTTCCTTTTCTTTTTTGGAGGTATGGGGAAGGAAAATGCTCTACCTAAGCTGACTTTCAAAATACTATGTATTTCAAAAAAGAAGAAAATAGGTATTTAGAAGAACTAGGAGAAAGAAGTTTGAATGTTTGAGAAGATAAATGTGTTTAAACTGACTTAGACATTACAAAATATATATACATACTGGTGTATCATGTGTACTAAATTAGTATGTCCAACTTTTATGTCTTTATGATATTTGTTAAAAATAAAGTTAAATTAAAAAATTCAGTATTCTTTGTCCCATTTTTATGGATTGCATTTTTATGAAAATAGATTCAGTCCTTTAAAACTAAAAATCAATGAGTTTATAATACAGTTTAAACAAGTTTATCTGCAGAAAATACACACACCACAGTGGACACAGAAGTATAGTTAAAGCATCTGTGCCATGAATGGCTGAAGGAGACTGCATCTATCAAAGGTCCCAAGGGCAAATTCAAGTGGGCATGAGAGAAGTAGGCAATGCTCCTCACTGGTCAGGATAGCACATCTGCTGCTCTACTGCACTCCAGGAGGACGGGGACCTCCCTAGAGGAACACACTCATCGGTGCCTCCCCGGGCCCCCCTCACAAGTCAGCTTCTCTCCACCTCTGCTTTTCTCTCTCCTTCTAGCCCTACTCTTCCACCTGTTTGTTTTTCTAGGGTGTGTGTGTGTGTGTGTGTGTGTGTGTGTGTGTGTGTGTGTATAAAGAGAAGAGAACAGAAAGAAGAGAACAGAAGAGAAGAGAAGAGACTGAAGAGAATTTAGTAGCTAAGTACTGAGGAGATTATCTGAGTTGAGTTGGTTGGATACTGTGTAATATAAATGGCCACTATCAGCAAAAGTTTTAGGGGTAATAACATCAGTCTATTGGTCTTCTTTCCTTTCTTCGTACAAGTATCACTGTCTTTTGAAGCAGGATAATTCTTTAATGTGAAAATCTGTCCCACACATTACCAGGTATTCACATCCCTAATCTTAGTACTAAATACTGGTGCATCTGTCTTTCTAAGGCACCATGGCTACCCGAACACTACCCTCTCTCTTTCTTAAAGCAGGAACAAAGGGACAGATTTTTACATCACAACCATAACTGGAATTTAGCTTAATTTTAAAAAAAATTTTCAACCTGGACATATACTTGGGAACATGTGACTAAGGAGAGTGCTGACTTTTCTTAATGCAATATTGCCTGGAGAGAGGAAAATAAAACAGGTCCCTTCTGATCAGAGATTCTATGTTAATGACACAGCTGAGTTTTAGAGTGTTGCAAAACATGTTCTTGACCTCAAAATTATATTAGTGATTCACTGAATTGAAAGGAGCTTTCATCTGTCATTATGTCTTTTAGCTACATAAATGAAAAATTTGAAAAGTATACCTTAAAAACCAAGTTATAAACTTAGCATTTAAAAATTTTGATTTCTAGTCTTTACTTTGCATTTCACATAAGCAATAGCTTGAATAGGTTACTTCTTTATATTTATTACTCTACAACTTCAAAAAAAACCACTTGAAGAGTAATGTGTTTTCTTTTGAAAACAGGAACACTAAAAAGTTAGGCAAGATACTTTACATACATAAAAATTCAGAAAGAGAATATCAGAAAATACCTTGAGTATTCAGGCTTCAGATCTTTGAAGGAAGAATTCTTAAATGCTGAGTAACTAAAGGGCAAAGGATTACTATGCTGTCTCATGTTCCATTGAGGTAAAATTTAAGGTGCTGTCACCCTTAATTCATGCAGGACCAGCCCATTTGGAAGTGTGTGAGGTGGTGGTGTCATAATGACTCAGAAAGGGGCTCCACTGGCATGTAGTGCTTGAGGACCAGGGTTACTATATTTGTGTAATACTCAGAATAGTCATACAAAATACAGAACTGTCTTGCATGAAAGCCAATAGTGTCTCATTGGAAAACATCTAACACAATCTTCAGTCCTATTCCCTGAGGAAAGTAGAAAGTTTTCGTTCTTCCTGAAGTCAACATCAAGCACCTTGTTACCAGCCAAGTGCACATGAAACACAATGACACTGCTCACCTGTTTTCTGAGTCTCTCTTTCATGCTCTTGTGTCAAATATTTCCACTGCAGAGCTTTGCAAATAGGGTAGGGCAAAACCTTTTCAAATAGGGCTAGTGAAAGGCATTAATATGTTCTTTGAAATGATACTCATGTTTCTTCCTCCCTTCTACATATCCTTTCTTAAGCTTCTAAGTATTCTTTGTGCTTATCTGCTGGGCAGCAGATGAGAGAAATGGCCTGCCAGGTAGGCCTCTTCTATCCAATCCATCTCCTCCCTGCAACTGCTGCTAGATGTCCTCTAAACATCCTTCCCCCAAGTTGCTTTTCTACCCCCAAATCTTCAAGGTGCTTCTATCTCCTATCACATCACCCCTTTGTCAATTGTTTTAAAGGTATGTCAATATCTTTTTCATCTTTACATTTTCTATGTTGTCTAATGTAGCATCTGAGACATATTGGATGTTAAATGTATATTTGATTGCAATTTTAGTTCCTAACTCTCAAGACTCACAGCCAAGCCTTTCTTTTATTTGGTTGAGGGTTGGTCCTGGATCTTGAACTCAGGACTTCACACTTTCTTGATAGGTGCTCTACCACTCCAGCCCCCGAACCCTTCTTAATGCTGTTTTGTTTACTATTTCATCCCAAGTCTTTAATTTCATCCTCCTTTGTATTCCCACTATATTATTATTGTACAGAGTTGGACATTTAGTTTTCTATTTCTTATGATTTGCTAGCATTGCAAAACTTCTCTTCTCAATTAATTATATCATGCAACATATTACTGAGCATTCTACTAAGCAAATGGTAGCAATATACTGACAAGTCCACAGGTAATTGTGTATTGCCTGCTGAAAACAACTCCACAGTTTCTTTTACTAAATTATATCATAATTTTAATGGATATTTTGAGCTTAGGAATTCTCTTATGATGTACCTGGGGCTTATAGTATGATCTAATTCTTTATACAAATAATATGAGTCCTGCATTAAGATTATATGAGAATCTGGTAAAATTAATGGAAGTCTCCTGTTATAGGCTAAGAATTGTACAACAAATCTTTCAACCAAGACATATGGAAAAGAAAAAGAAACAAACATAGACAGATGGTATTATCAAATTATAATAACTTAGATGTAATGAGTCCTTCACTTCTGAATTAGCCTTGGCATTCAGATGATCCTTGAATCCTCATTTATTCTCAATTTATATGCAAAGTATTTGATAAAAGACTGCTTTCAAATATGAGGAAGTTCAAACAGTCTAAAAGTCACAATTTCCTGACATTTATAGGTATTAATATGATATACAAATGTTCATGAATTATAGTGTCTTGACCAACCAGTTTCACTTTTTCATTTCATACCCAAAGGCATTAGTCTCCAGCTTCCTTCAGAAATAGTGCCAGCTCTGAGAGCAACCAAACCTTTGAAAATATTTCCATACATTATTTCTTTTATTTCCTCTTATATTTTTAAATAAAAAGGGAAATCATTTATCATCTCTATTCAGTCATAAAGAATAGGAATGCCACTATGTAACAGAAGTCATCTCACTAATGCACAAGAATGGAAAATCAAGCCAGTTGGTCTAGGCTGAATTGAATTAAATCTTGACCTTGTAAACATTTCCATAGGAGGTAGAACATAGTCATTTGACTTTTTGTCAAATAAAGGATAGTAAACAATGATTCTAAGATCCTAATAAATTAAAGGCATTGTAAAGGCATTAAATATATTTTCTCTTTTTTAGAATCCAAAGGTGAAGGAGCATACAGATTTTCAATAAATTAGAAATATTAAATCTTCATAGTTGTATGTCTAAATCTTCAAATCTCCACCGGTTTCATTAGACAGTGTTTGAAACTATGATTAGTAATGAGATCACATTTTAAACTATTTTGTGAAAGGCAAACTATTGGTACCAGTGACTTGAAAAACAATGTTTAGCCACTGCATAGTCCATATCCTTCACCCTCATGGGAGTTTGAATGAATACATATTAACATAGTAGAGATTTTTAAAGTTTCAATATCACTCAGCATTGCTGGCTTAGGTGCCTCCAGCTGCAGTTCCCATAAACACAGTGTTGATGGGTGGTAAAGAGGACACCATTTCTCTATTGTTTGCTCCATGGGAGTCCAGAGTGTCTTGCGCTGGATACTGACTGGAAGTTCCATACATACACTGGGATGAAGAGGAAGGAATTGGGGTTTGTAAGCTGGAAGCTGGAAGGGAAAATATAATCAGCAACTGAAAATTAATTCACGTATTCTTTTCTCTGCAAGTGTCCCTCACTTTAAGCCTCTGTATGCATTTTTATACATAGCACATGCACATACCTGCTTTAAAATTGAATGCATATGGTTTGTCAGAGCAACCATCTTTTCTTCCACTTTTTCCATTTGTTATTCTCCCAGGTTATTCTTCCATGTATTTTACAGAGGAAACTTCTTTCCATCTGCACCCTTATAATTATAGCTCAGCCTAACCATTTTCTCTTACCTGGACCAACACAGCAGCCTTCTAACTGCTCTCATGACTTTCATCTTTGTCTCACCCTCCCATCTTCCAGAGACCAGCAAGAATGATCTTGCTGAAATGTAAAGCAAAGTACTTCTCTTTTCTCAAATGCTACAATGGCTTCATATATTCTTGGAACAAATCCCAAACTTCTTGGTCTGTTTCATAAAACCCTGCATGAACTGATCCTTGCTTTTTTATTTACTCCACTCTCTCCTTTGTCCATCATGCTCAGATATATTGGCTTTCTTTCTGCCCATGAAATTTTCCAAAGTTGTTCTGATTTCAGAGGCTCTGTAATTGCCTAGCATTCCACCATCATATCTTCATGCTTCAGCTTTCAACTCAAATGTTCCTTCCTCAGCATTCTTTCCCAACCACCCTTCCTAGACTAGGTCCTTCACTATTATCTGCCATTTTAGCTCATATAATCCAACTCAGAGAACCTGAATTTATCATTTTAATGTATTTGTTCATATAGTCCTTGCATTACTCTCTCCTTACTAAATGTAAATTAGTAGCAGGGACTATGGCCTGATTACCTCTGTATCCTCAGAGTCTAACACATACTTGTTCTCAAAAATGTTAATTAACTAGCTCACTGAGTCTATATTTCCCTCATGTATGACTATTGCCATCTCAGTGCTGAAGTGGCATGCTCTCAGTCACTAAGAACCAGGCTTTATATTTAAAGGAGTCTATAGAGGGTCTCAATTTGCCTCATTTTACTTAGTCACTCTATTCCCTGTTTTGACCCTGAAGCCCACTTAGCAATCTGTCAGCCGGCTTTGACAAGTAAAGCTGAGAATCCACCCTACTCCCAACCATGTTCCATCAAAGCTTCCATTATCTCTACAAGTAAACAGAACTAATAGTAACAATAGCAACATGGTACACTTTAGTCTCATGGTGAGGAAATTTCCTGAAGTGGAATTTTCTGCTTCATTAGAGTAACCTAGAAGCGATGACTATTTGCAGATAGCAGGAGATGAGCTTCTAGACTGCTCAGGGAGCATTTGTGATGGTCACAGGAAGGGAAGAAGTACTTCCTATTGAATTATTGGAAAAGTACACTGAATGAGGAGAGGTGGAATTTATCTCATTTTCCTTTATGCTCCAGTTGGGTGTCAATGCTCTTTACTTATGCTAGTCTAAAATCAATTTCATTGAAGATTTCAACATCTTGTATAAACCTTAACACTCTGCCTTGATGCTTAATGAGTATATTGCTTGTGCTGTGATACTTTATTAGCAAGTTCAGAAAATAAATTTATATATAGATTTAGTCACAAAATCTATGGTATTAGTAATAACATATTAATTATTACAGAGTAAGTATATGTGTATATTGAGGGGTTTGGGGGAGGTTGGTTGGTTGGTTGTTTTTTGGTGCTTGGCATCAAACTCAGGTCCTCGCACATCCTAGGTAAGTGCTCTTCCACTGTGCTAGAAGTCTAGCCCTAAATTTGGTTTTTACTCTTGTTTTCATTCACTGATTTACTGAGTTCCTGCTATATACCAGACACTTTGCTAAGTGCTAGTGATGCATCTGGTATAAGTTGTAGAATTTCTTCATAGGTGAGACTAGAACAGAAAACTGATTGGAAGTAGAAGCTACAATACTTCATGGCAAACTCACTGATTTGCTCACTTTTGTTTCAATTGTATATTACAGAACATTAAAATTAGCACCATTTTCTACAGAGTTGTTCAATCACATTTTATGAAAGGTTGAGAAAATGCAAATAGCTTCCATCACATGATACATTTTTTTAAAACTTGCAGTGGTTTCAGGCACTGATGGATTATGGGGTCCAGATATACCTCTTGGCACTACCAGTGGGTCCAACAATGACCAAGAGAGAATGATATGGTAGAGCACCTGCCTTGCAAGTGTGAAGCCCTAAGTTCAAACCCTAGTACCACCAGAGAGAGAGCAAGAACCAGAATGAAAGCAAGAGCGAGTAAGAGAATAAGAACGAGAGAGAGAGAGAGAGAGTGATAAAAAGACATCTTAATTGTCCTTGTGAACTTACTGTCTTTCAGACTGTATTTGACAGGTTATATTAATTTTTGCATACATAATAGATGCCACTATTCTTTTGGGGAAGAATTATAGCTCTAGCAATAGAGCTATAGGTTGCATACTATTTATTTATAGAATGAGAAATGGAAACTGTTACTAACTATATATTCAGTTAAAAAAATATAACCTTGAATCCAAAGTGAAAAATCAACTGTGGGAACATGAATGTGCAGTTTACCCCAAAACATGCTGAATACCTGAGATTCATCATTTTATAAAATGTTTTCAAGAATTACAACAACTTACCTACTACTGGAGTCCGACATGCAACTGGAGATGTGTCTGCATAAAATGAGTTGGTCTGCTTTCTACTGCTGTCATCTAAAATGTTAAGTGGATCGTGGATGTCACTGTAGGGAGGCAGTGAGCGAACGCTGCTGATGACAGAAACATGTTGATTCACCATTGATCCAAGCCTGTGAGCCTCTGGGTAGTTTATATTGCTTCCATAGTATCCTAGAACACAAAGTGATGAGAATGTGCTATTAGCTTATTATAAGAACCATTGTAGGATAGTAAAAATGCCATTAGGTAATTGTGTAGAGCCTTAAAGATATCAAACTGCAAATATTATACCTATTTACTTTTACTAGAGAGCTGGATTTGTGCTTATGTGGTTTTCTGTGTTTTTTAAAAAGGAATCATATTATTAATTTTGAGACACAGATCACATCTTTGCCACCTACACCTTCCTTATCTAAATTGATGAAACCTGCCTATGCAGAAAGAAAAAAGCTATTATGCATTTCATATTATACTACTCTTCAAATATTATTCTTATTTACAGGTTCATGCCCATGGAAGAAGGACTGGCCTAACATTTTAGGAAAAAGATGTCAAAGAAGCTATACACAGGCCTATGTTAGTAGCTGGAGTCCATAGGTCTTTCTGTTCCCCTTAACTTCAGCTTATTATTGGCCTAACAGTGAGTACTGTTTTGGTCCCTGTCTTTAAAATCTGCTCTTAGTTCTCTGGAAGAGATATTCTCCACTACAAAATATTTTCAAAGGACATAATATTCTTCTTTGGGCCTATTAAAATTGGTATTAGCATATGGTTTGACATATATATTTTTAATATGTGACATTTAGAAGGGCAACTTTAATTAGAATTAGAATTTTAAAGGTGGGAAAAGTGTCTCAAGAGGTAGAGAACCTGCCTAGCAAGTGAGAGGCCCTGAGTTCAAACCCCAGTACCACAAAAAAAAAAAAAATTAGAATTTTAATTCCTAATTATTATTAGGGAATATCAGCTTTAAATGTCTAAGATTCCGTGATCACTACAAGTCATACATGGATGACACGCTACTTGGTAGAGTTGGAACTCAACTGTCTACTTTTGTTTTATTGTCTTCTCAAAAGCCAGAAAAAAAGTTTTGAAAACTTGATACCATTTGGTGAACTAGAAGGCAGGGTGGCTCCTTGGCAGCTGGCAGCTCCCGCATTGCTCAGGAAATTGAAGCTCCCGGTATTTAAAAACTGCATACTGTGTGCGTCTTGAGCATGTGGGGATGGCCCGTAGCTGGAGGGTGGCCTGGAATTGTATGGAGAACCAGCACAGCTGCCGCTGAAGAAATCTCTAGGAAGCTGCTGTTCAGCCCAGGCCATGCATCGCCCATGCTCCGAGCGATGAGGGTAGAGTCCTGGTGGGGGGTGGGGCTGGGTCCTGAACACAGTCTGATAGTCAGCGCCGGGCCCGTAAAAGTCATGGCTGGCTTGAGCGAGGGCGGGATAATCAGGCTCTGGATGGGTGGAGCGGTGTGGTGGGGCTGCTGGCACTGGGCCCACACCTGGAGGTCTTCCTGCCATTGGCCCTTGGTTAATGACGCTGCCTCGGTTTGCCGTGGCTGGGGAAATAGGTGGCGTCGCCAGATGGCCAGTGCTCTGTGAAAGCTCAATTTGGCCTAGAAACAATTACGAGAGCATCAGTTAGTGGCACAGTAAAGTAAGCGGGCTTGGACTTTCAAAGGTGTTCAAAAGCTCTACTAATATCCTAATTATTCCCGACTTAGTTCCTAGCCTCAAAAATAATGAAACTAGAGAAAATTTAAAATTCAAATTAAGAAATACACACACACACATACATCCTCAATACAGGCTTATATCACAGAGTAGAGACTTGGAGCTAGTGATTACCATGGAAAGTCTGGGATGGCTTTAGTATTTAACAGGTATGAAGACGGTAGGACTCACATTTGCGAAGGGCAAGGGAGTTTGCTGCTCACATTTTTCCATAGTAAAAAACAAGCTGAATGTGAAACGGTTTTGTCTTAAAGTAAAAGAAAACGCAGTAATGTCAAAATGGCCATGACTTCAAAGCAGTTAAACATATTGTGCACACATCACTGATGAACAATTGTCTCTATGAATGGTGCCAACCGCAGTGCCTCTGACTTTCCTTGGCATCACTGAACTATAAGGCCCCACCAGGTTTAATATTCTGACTGGCTAGCCAGGCACCAGTGGCTCACGCCTGTAATCCTAGCTACTGAGGAGGCAGAGATCAGGAGGATTGAGGTTTGAAGCCAGTCCAGGCAAATAGTTCGTGAGACCCTATCTCAAAAATACCCATCACAAAGAAGGGCTGATGGAGTGGCTCAGGGTGAAGGCCCTGAGTTCAAGCTCTAGCACTGAAAAAAAAATTCTGACTGGCCAATGGATTAATGTATCTTAAAGCGTTTTAAAAAAATCATGAGGCAATAAGCAGATATTCTCTAGTACTTAGCTTAAACTACTATACATTCATTTTGACACAAAGGGGATCCTAGACCAAAATGTAAAATAACTGTAATAGATAATCTAAAAAGGTTGAATCCACTTTTTTTTTATGACATTATTGTTGTACTGGGGTACATTGTGACATTTACTAAAGTTCTTACAATATCATTCTCCTTTATGTCCCCTCCCCCTATTCTTGGAATAGTTTCAACAAGTCTCATTTTTCCATTTTCATACCTGAGTACATAATATTTCTACAACATTCACCCTCCTACACCTTTTCTTTATATCCTCTCCCTCCCACTGGTACCAAACTCCCAAGACAGACCTGTTTTACCTTCTTGTTCTTTGTTTTTGAAAAAATGACATTTTTGTCTACTAAAGATAGCTAATACATGGTGTTTCATTGTGACATTTCCATGTATGTATGTATTATAACATGAATTGGTTCATCACCTCTATTTTTCTCCTTTCTACCTGAGTCCCCTTCTTATGATGATTTTAACAGATTTATAGATACAGAAAATTCTATATTCATGAATCCACTTCTTAATAGAGGGGAAATATTATCAAAAGCCACAAAGAAAAAAAAACACCCATTTTTGATTTCAAAGCATCTTAATGATTTTATGTACACCTAATCTAGTTTTTTCTTTTACTAAATGAAGAGAGCTATCTATACATTTTTTTTAAAGACAGTGTCTTACTATGTAGCTCAGATTAGTGGAAGTCACCATGTAGGTTAGGCTGGTGTTGAACTTGTGATCCTCATGCCCTTGCCCTCTGAGAGCTGGGATTACAGGTTTGTATAAGCATGCCTCATACTTCTGATATAACTTATTGTGTTTCAGTGTGTGATACCCATGTTAATAATGGTATTAATAAAAATGTGAATGGTAGTTTCTAACAAATCACAAATATTTTAAATCTTATAAAATTGCAAATAAAGTATTATGTTTTATTACATAAAATATTATAAATCAGTTAAAATAATCCTTTTCTAACCTTGGAATCCGTGGAGGTTAAGAGTTTCATTAAAAACATAGGAATGGGCTCCTCTAAGACAAGTTAAGACTAATAAGCAATTCTTTGTTGCTTCACAGCATACCTGAGAGTGGCATGTTGTCTGTGTTCCCAGCAGGGAATGGGTGCAGAGCAGGGAGTAAGCCTCCAGGTTGACTGGATGACAGAGGAAGGTAGGTTGTCTCCACATTGCTTTCGTTCTTCACAGCATCACTGGAAACTGAGCTCACTTTATTACGATTGGCAAGAAAGCATGAGCTCGGGGAAGCAGTGAAGGCAGCTTTACTTGCATCTGGGAAGATTTTTAAAGTAAGAAAGCTGAGATTACTCCAATATTCCTAGTTGCAAAGGCCAAATAAAACATAGTGAAAATGTCTCATAGTTTAGTAATTAATCTGGAAACTCCTAAGCAATATTTTCCATAGGAAACAAGGCTGGCTGACCTTTGTCCTTGACAGTAGTGCTTTGTGTTACTGTGTGTTTGTGGGTGTAGGTATATTCTGGGGAGCACAAAATAATCCACTCTTGAGTGAACAGTCTTCAAATGCAAGTTTTCACATCCTAGACAGATGTGATTCCTTCATCTTTAAACTCCTATAAAGTTTATTTCTACACCTATTTTTATAGGCAGTATACTATATATGTTATCTTGAACTATAGTTATTTTCTATATTATAGTCACTTCTCAAACTTCATCTAAATTCTCAGAAGTTAGGAACATAAGTTTTTGTAAACATCAAAATTTCCAGTAAAGAATTTTGCCTAATTTATGCATAAATGGAGCAAAAGATAGTGAACCACTAGTGTCAGGAATGATGTTAGTAGCAAAGTGTTTGGAGGAAAACTCTGAGACTATTATAAACCCACTTAACTTGTGTAGTTGTAAATTCTTGAACTTAGGTTTAAACAAAGAAATACGAAAAACATAATAGCTATTTTAAGTTACCAGAATTCTTCATATATTTGTCCAATAAATTCTGTAACTCCTGTTCTTTGTCATTATTAAACTGAGTTTCCATGGCCAGAAGAATATATTCATCAAGAAGCATTCGGATCAAGTGGAAAGAACCTTGTTTATGGATGGGAAAATAAGAAAGGACATGAGGGGAGAGGAGAGAAGGAGAGGGAAAGAGAAAGAGAGAAGTTAAGTTATCTCTGTGACCATCTCACCACACTTTACAAGAAGCAACTGAAATAAACAAATACTTGCTGGACTTTAAATGACCTGCTAAGACCAATATGCTTAACTTGGGTCTCTAATCTTTCTGTGTACTGCCTGCCCAGCTCACTGTGTGTACTGTCCTGCCAGCTCTTTGGCCACTAATTACATCAAAGGAAAATACGGATGAAAGTGAGACATGCTTTATACTTTAAGAGGGCACACATTGGAGTGTGATAAGCTTTAACCTGGGGAGAATGAGCTCTACTCTGCTCTATTTCTGTTTACTTTGTACTAAATAATTAGACAATGGCCAACATGGTCTGAACATTTTATCAAATAAGGTATCTTTTCAGCTTGAAACAAAATATTCTTTGACATTTAAAATAAAAAGCAAAAGAGCAATTTTTGTGTGAAAAATATACTGGAAAAACTAACTTTTAAAAATAATTCAAAAGATTTGCTAACAAGACTTTTTTTTATCATAATAAAGTTGGGCTTCAATGCTATATAATTTGACAAACTTAAAATATGAGCGAGTCTATTTCAAATAATAGACTGAAAGTATTTGCTTATCCTTCCATACAGTTAACAGATTTTAATTGAATCAAACAGAAAATAAAACAATTTAGTTAATTGTAACCTCTTTTATAATGGGAAGACTTCTTGAATTGTAACTATTAAATATAAAGTATATCCATAAGTTTAGCATGACAAGTTGGAGTCTCAAAAATTTTAGGGAAAAGAAGGCACTCAGTTTTTTAGTAGAATTTGACACAATTTATTTTACGAGTCCTAGTGCTCAGGACAGATCACTTAGAAACTTATGACAATATGTCTTATAAGCTACTCTTTGATTCCTGGAGTACAGCTAAGCAGGTGCCAGCAAAAGATGAAAAATTGCCATATAGTAATGAGTAGTACCTCTAGAAAATAGTGTCTTAATTTTTGTTTGTTTGACAGAAAATTTACCCAAGCAAAGATGGAAGGTAATAATAATAGCTGCTATTCACGAGTGTTTACTGAATACAAGGCAATGCGTCCTCTCATGAAAGTCCCTACACAATTTTAAGAAAAGAATATTCTTCCCTTTCTTAAATGAGCAGACTGGCTTGGGTAAAGCTACAGCCAGAGAGAAGCAGAGTTAGGATTTAACCCTATGTGAGTTCTGATGTTAAAAGCCTGGTTCATAAGTATCATTTTCTACTAAGCCAATATTCAGATATAGTTTGAGAAGTAACAGTGGATAGTAATGTGTTAAAAACTGATAGGAGATCTGACTAGACAATGAATGATATAATTCATGTAAGAAGATTTTTATGAAGCACATAGGATACCAAAACTTGATGCATTGTTTAAGGTGAGATTATGCATTACTCGAGCACCAAAAAAACTCCACTTTAGCAGAAAGTCTTGAGCCCTCTTCTTTAATGATCTTCCATTTTGTTTGCTGGTCTAAAAGTAAAGGAACAACATGAAACTATAAAACCTGTCATTTTATTACTACATGCATCCTATGTTAGATCAAGAGGTAGATAAACTATCTGACAAATGGACAGATGGCATGGTATGATACTTATTTCATCAAATAAAATGACCTGTCCAGAGATTTTAATTTTAGCCTTTCTTTGTTGTCATTTCAAGAGTAATGTCTATTCTATGTAGACATTTATTTCCTAATACAATTAAACAACAAAATAATTTACAAAATAGTTTTATCTTTAATTTTTTGATAGATCTTTAAAAAGAACAGAAGGCAATGTGTGAGATAAAGGTTATATATTTCTGTGAATGATTAACAGACTTTTAAGGTCCTGCATGATAATCTGTTTTCTTTCTAAAAGAAATAAAAGCCCCAGACTATTAACTAGTTTGCTTGATATGGAATGGCCCACACTAACTAATAATGGATATATTTGTCCAATTGAAAGAGGTGAAGAAACCAAACAAGAAATCATTTTTAGAATTCAGAATTGCAAATTGATAAAATCACATTTTCTGTCGGCATTTGTGAAAACTTGCTTTCTAGGAAGGGTAAGGTCATTGTAGTTTCTAAATGTATCTTTCATTAATGATGTTACTCATGTGTAACTATTGACTGATAGGGAATGGATAGCTTTTTGTAGCCCTTAGCTAAAAAAAGGAGAAACAGAATTGAATCTATGCCCAATACTGTCAAGTCTGACATATTCTTAATTTGGGGCTGCCTTATTTGCAGGGCTCCAAAAGCTTTCCAAAGTATTTTCACACATAACCTGCCACCCACCCTCCCATCAGTCAAGAAATTGCAGCCAGTTTAGTGTTAACCCTTACAAAAAATATGTACTTTATGAGCCATCATTAAAACATACCTTAATAACTCTCTGTTCTACTACAGTATCCAACCATTCAATAAAAGCCTCCACAGTGGCATTCTTCTTAAGCAAATCCTTCAGTTCTTGGAACACAGTGATAGAGTCATCTACCAGTTCAAAAAAAAAAAAAAACATAAGAAAGCAGAATATTGTATCTATTTTGATCCCAAGAGAAAACCTAGAACTATGAATCATTAATAATTTTATAGCATAAAAGAGAAAGATAGGTAAGTTAGGTTAAATGCATAAAAGGAATTAATTTGATATGCTGAGAGCAGTACCAAATATGCTCAGTAGTCTTCAAAATTTTAATCATAAGCATATCTATATGGTATACATTGATGTTTATAAATACTAGAGGAAAGTAAATGAACATAGATGAATATTTATTTTTAACCCAGTGCTTTCATTACATGGAACAGATTAGTTAAAAGCAAATGAATCAATTAAGCTAAGCTCATTGATTTCCTACTTTGTAAATGGTTCTTTATCTTCAGCAGATAAAATTCTGTGGCAAAAAAATAAATAAAATTCTGCACTTCAGAATTGAGCCATTTACATGTATACCTTCTGTTATAAACTTTAAAGGAGACTGTAAGATGGTTCATTTCGTGGAAGAGTCTAGAGTTTACTGAATTGTAAAAAGTAATGACATTTTATGTTAAGAAAGAAAAGGTGCAGCTGGTGTTGAGCCCAGAGAGCAGTCCATTGTTTATTCTATACCCTATGGGAGGCTGCAGGTTTTTTATTCTTTTTAGAAAGAAAGGGAGGGGAAAATAGTGAGCTGTTATCCTTTGGAAATCAATCCAAGTTGTCTAATCATGCATATTTTCACTTGGTAAACTCCATGTAATAGCCAAACCTGACTAGAATCTCTACTTTGTATAATGCACTGAGATACCATTTTGATGTGTATCATACACTGCATGGTGACAAAAGGGAAAAACACATGAAAATCTGTATGTATGTAACTGAAAAAAAAAACTCACGAAACTCAAAGCCCTTTTGAATATTTCCAGTTTATTTATGTTTTGGTTATTTGGTTGTCTAGAACAATGAGATTAAGATTACTTTTATTTTCCCCAATATTTGTTTTATTTTCCCCAATATTTGTTGTATTTTCCAGGTTTCCATGCTGAGTAAAGTAGAGGACAGGTTTTTGTTTGTTTTTTTTTAATTAAAAATGTTTCAATAAACAGAGTTTCTCAAACAGATGTGATTTTGTAGCCTGGAGAGATTGGGCAGTCTGTTGACATTTTTGGTTGTCCTTTGGGGGAATCCCAGCACTGGCAGCTAGTGAGCAGGGGTCAAGGATGCTGCTGAACCTCCTAGAATGTATGGCACAGGCCCCACAAAGAAGTTATCTTGTGGAAAATATCAATAGTGCCAAAGTTAGGAAAACCTGTTCTTAATAAAGAAAACAGACTTACGTTCACTGTAGAGGTCAGACTCGGTGTCTGTGCTGCCTGAAATGGTAAGAAGGGCCTGAGATCCAATACTATTCAAATCAACCTTTTCAATATCAGATACCATAGAATTCACAACATGCTGGTCAAAGAGAGCTGGTCTGGCAATCTGCACAGAGAAAATAAAGCAGACACTAAACTATATCATTTATAGTCTATCAACATGAAACTTTTAGCTTCAAGAAAAACAGTTTCTTAAGAAAAAGAATCATTAATAATTACTTTTATTTTAAAATTAAAAGCAATAGCCAAAACTCATGACCACCTTTGATAAAATTTCATTTTATTTTTGGATTTAGACAATAAAATGAATTTTTTTTGTTCATGGTCACAAAATTAGGATTTTAAAGTATCACATTTCTTATCTTAGCCAGTTCTTCAAAATTTAGGGAACTAAACACATTTATAAAGCAAATCATCATTTAGGGCAGTGAAGGTTTATTTAACAATATATGGTATTTTTAAAATAAGAGTTATGCTTGTTCCTCACTATTTAAGGGAGCCATAATTAGTAGCAGTTAGTGTGTTGGGTTTGTGGGTTTGATAACATTTTGACACCTTTAATTTGGATTCACTTTATATTGATTTATTTTCACTTTTTATTCTGAAATAATGTAAATCATAGATAAGTTGCAAAGATAGTGCAGAAAAGCTCCCCATACCTCCATCCATCTTCTTATCATATTCTATAAGCATTGCATATTCCCCAAATCAGGAAATTAACATCTGTACAAGACTAACTACACTATAGAAGTAATTCAAATTTCACCAGCTTTTCCAGTAACATTCATTCTCACTTCTAGTATTTGCTGTCAGATAACACATCGCATTTTGTTGTTGTCTACTACGTTCCCTTCAATCTGTGAAAGATCCTCAGTCTTTCCCTTATCAGAAAATGCATTTTGATTTGATGACTCAAAGAGTCTCAGTTGACCCACGTACCTGAGCAAGATGTAAGAAAGATGTTTGTCGCTTCAGAGAAGATACGAATCTCCGCACAATGGGTATTTTCTTGTCTGTTAGGGCTTCTGGCAAGTTTTCCAAGGATGAAACAACCCATTGTTCCCAATTTTTAGCAAAATTTCTTATGTCTGCTAATAAGCTACAAAGAAAACTATTTGTTAATGCTACATTGTTCCAAAATAGAATGAGTAAGTGCATTTAATGGAGATATTCTATTAGTCTATGCTTCTGAAAGCATGAAAGCATAGATTTGAAGTCAGAGAGGTTCAGCCCATGGTTGCCATTTATTATCTTGATCAAAATATTCAATTTCCTTAAACTCATATTTCCTCTGGGAATATATGGGAATAAAAATAGTGTCTCATCACAGGATTATTGTGAGGAATATATGAAATAATTCAGGAAAATGTCAGGGAAAATCCTGGAATGGAGTAATCAATAAAATATTTTATTAGTAATAAGTCATGATTCAATTGTTTTCTATAAAATATATTTCTGAGAAAATATAAGTGTATGCTTGATGTTGCATGTCTTGGCTTCTTAAGAGAAACCATGTTGGGATCATAAGATTTCATGAGTTTAACTCTGGTTTTACTAGCATATTCTTTTTTTTCCTTCCTGGAAAGATTGTGAACCTTTGACCTGGACAAATCCCAGGACAGGTACAACTGCATCAGGGATATAAGGAGGAGCATACTCTTAAAATCCAAATGAAATTTTGTGAGATGAATTATCAAAAGCATACTAATTAATTACAGGCCCAACTTAGAAAATTTCAACTGTTGGATGTGAATATATTTTAAGAGCATACAAACATTTAAAAATCAATCTAAAATCCTCAGATCTATGTCAACAAAACAACTCTAAACATACTTGGGGTAGTGCATATGTTGGGGAGCAGTGAAATGGTTCAGGAAAAAGAGCAAGAAGTTTGGGGTCAAAATCTAGCTCTACTTCTTACTAATTAGCTGATATGGAAAGATAAAGTAATTTATTTCTGCTCTCAGTTTCTTCATTTGATTATTTCTGGTTCATAATAAGTACTCTAGACAGAGTGAAGGGGAAAGCAGAGGGTAATGGGGGATATGATCAAAGTACATTATATGGATGAATGAAAATATAATGAAACCCATAAAATTACTAAAAATGGAGAGAGGGATAGGAAAGAGTAATAGGGGGTTAAGATGATCAAAGTAATTATATGTATGTTGGAAACATCACAATGAAATCCCTTTATACAATTAATATATGCTAATCAAAACAGTAAGATGATAGGTTTTTAAAAAAAGAAAAACAATTATTTAATAACAAGTAATTGGTTAAAGCTAGTGTTCTTTGAATGATGGAAATTTATTTCACCACTTAGAAAGGTAATATGGTGGGGTGTAGCTCAGAGGTGAAGCATGTGCCTAACATGCATGGGGCCCTGGGTTCTATATCTAGCACTGCAAAAAAAAAAATTAATGTTGATCTGTGTTTATTGATTTGGACAACTCATACTCCAGACTCCAGTTCCCTTTTTCATGTATTTACAGATATTCCTAGAAACAGTCTGTGAGATAATAATTTAAGACATTAAAAACACGGTGAGATTGAGAAGGTTTTTAAAAATATGTGCATGTATGATTTTTATTCTCTACAATGAAACTTTCAGGCTTGTAGAAGTCACATGAACAAATTTATATAAACTCTCAAACACTAATATGTGTTAATATGGCTAGATACTATTATCATTTAAAATGGTCACGTGACCAGGTGTTTGCTACTTTGCTATGACCCCGGAACTATCAGGTATACACAATTCAGAGTACAGATTAGATGTTTAAGGACTGAAATTTATAATTTAAAAAACCACTGAATAGGCCAATACTGTGATATAACTAAATAAAATAGTCTATAGTAAAAGATAAACTATAACCAAAATTAATTGAATACCAATTATGTACAGCCCTAAATGAATTTGTGTCTACCCAGTACTAAAATAACTTCCATTATTTCATTAGACTTTATTTTCATGGGAAAATTTGGCTCTTTTATTCAAGTTTCTACTGTTCTCACATTGGAAAGGCTTTCTTTGTGAAAATTTTTCAGGTATTTCAATAAATTATTTGAGTTCTTTTTTGCTTATTTGTTAAAAGAAGATAGAAGTTACACTATGCCACTTCCTCATGTTGCAATTAAGGTTAATAATAAAAATATATTAATTTTCTTCATAGTTTTTATTATTGTGATTGTCTATCAATTATCCCTATGAGTTTCCTCCAGCTAGTTTCCATTTAAGAACTTTTTTAGTACATTGAAGGTCAATGACACTTAATTACCTATTTTTGGCTTCAGCAGCCCTCAACTGAGGGATTACAAGTTTTTATTCTGCCCATTTTTTTTCACTTACAAGGTCTGAGAAACATCTACTGCTGATGGTGCAAAGAGACAGAAGTAGAAAAATATTCTTCTTCATAAATGAATGAATGGCTACTTGTTTTCCTTAAACATAATGACTGGAAAGTGACCCTAAATCATGCCTATCAGAAGCTATCTTATTTATTAACTAAACATACCTTTCTGGCATTTCTTGCATTGTTGCAGGAATGAGTACATCTGTAAGAACCTTAAACACAACAAAAGAGAGTTATCATAAATCTTTACCATTTATATAGAAAGACACATTCATCAATTACTTTTTCTTCTTAGCTTCCTGGAGAATAATATAATTCCTTTCTGAAGCTATAATTTTTCACTAAAATGAACAGATGTATTTGTAGTATGTGAAACAACAAAGCAAAGGACAGTATTGTGTATGCCCCTAATGCTAATTACCAATGGACTGGCTGTAGTAATCATGTACTGTTTTATTGACTAGAAAGTCACCAAGTGGCTTCTAATGAAGATCTTCAAGAAGCTTATTTTATACTTTTGAATTTACAACGCTCACTGTGTGTTCTGTGTCTACCGTGAGGAAGAGAAACTAAGGTTATTTAAAAATTAAAACTCAGGGCCAGGCATGGTGGTTTACACCTGTAATTCCAGCTACTAGAGAGGTGAAGATCAAGAGGATTGCAATTCTACCCAACCTGGGCAAAAACAGTTAGTGAGATCCCCATCTCAACCAATGGCTGGGTGTGGTGACAAATGTCTACCATTCCAGCTAAGCAGGAAGCATAAATAGGAAGATGTGGTCTAAACTGATGGGGCAAAAATGGGAAACCATATCTGAACACAACTAAAACAAAAAGGGCTGGATATGTGGCTCAATCTGTAATGCACCTGCCTAGCAAGAGTGAAGCCCTAACAAAACAAAATCACACTTAATCTCAGGATTTTTGTGTTGGGCTCAAAAATAATAGATCTTTCTTGGGGGAAGGGAAGTATGTTTCAAGGGTATTCTTAGAAGAGCTGAAACAGCTTTGCTTTGATGGTTATATGAGTGTGAATGAGTCTCAGGTCTTTTCTGTACTTACTTGGAACTACCTCTGTTCCTACTTCTGGTTGCTTTTCAAGTTTTAAGTAGTACAGACAATTAGTACAAACTGAATCTTTTCTCTGTAAATATTAGCATTTATTCAATCCAGAAAGAAAATCCTTCCTCACCTTTATCCTTCTTCAACTTTAGTTTGAACTAAAAGGCAGATAACATCTTGTACATAGTCCTCCACTCTCTTTTCCTGTGATGAGGACCGAACAGTGGATGAAAACATGGCTCCCTCATTCTCTATGCCTTAAGCCAATCTGTCAGTTCTTGGTTTGCAGAGTTGCTTCTGGAAAGTCTACCTCACTTCTGCTTTACTTTTCTGCAAAGCTGAGAACCCAAGAGTGGCACCTGATTTGCTCAATAGGTTTGGGTTTTCTTGCCAACTCAGGTTTTTTTTTTTTAATTAAAGCTTTGGTTTTTTCCTCTTTACAATTTGGTAGATGGGTGCAACAAAAACCACTTTAAAGTGCCCAGATTGCGATGTAATTTTATCCCTCCCTTTGGACCTTATTGCTGCTCAACCAGGGAAGAGACTATTTTCTTCTTTCCCACTAAACCTTTGGCTGGAAGGCCAAACAGTCTTCTTTACTCAGGATGTCTTCTTGAGTCTCCTGAAGACATTCATGGAATCTTACTTGGTTAAAAATATAATTGGACATTAATGCATCGAAGCTAGAGGTTCTCAAGATTTTTAAGTTATTAATCCTACAAGGGAAGCTAACTCTGTTCTTCTCCCAAACACTGATACTGTAAAATATCCATTGTATCGTTTTAATCTGAAAACACCTTAAAGAGTTAATAAAAATTAAGTAAATCATATATTAGTGAGTATGTCACTTTTAGAATGATTCTTAGCTATAAACAGACACTGAATTTGCTTTACTTAATATGTTTCTTTTAAGCTACATATACTTCTAAGCATGCACTATGATGTTGCTTGTTTTCTTATCAGAAAAATGATAGTGTATCTCCAGACAGGAAAAACAAACTTATTATAAATACATTGCAAGAATTTAGAAAGAATGCCATTTAAAGAAATCAATGGTTTGCATTTAAGATGTTCCAAGTTGCTCACCTTGTAAAGAATTGAGTCGCAAACACAGAAAATGTCAATGATGACAGGGTTCTCAAGTAAGGGAAGAAGATGATCAGGCATTCCTTGCCAGAAGTGTAGTAAGAAATGCTGGATCTAGGTGCAGAGTAAAGAACACATATGTTAAGATTTCCCCTTAAAATAAACTCATTATGAACTGGACGTGAAAGTGTGTGTAATATAGGTAAGAAAGTGTTCTTTGTCACCCTTACCTCTTCAAAGTTCCCATTAATTGCATTATCCAGGATGCACTGGCAGTGAGTTTTGTACATCATTATGAGAGTATCGACCTATTTCAAGGAAGAAAAAGCTTGACCAAAGTATCCTTTGATATTGCTTTCACTTGTTCATTCATGCCACACAGATTTTTAACCTCCTATAGTATACCAGGTACTATGTTCAATGCTGAGGACTCAAGAATAAAGGGAAAATCTTTATTTCAAGGAACTTACTGCATTGTGAAGGAAGAAAGTCAAGTAAATTGATGACACTATGGTATGATAAGAGAAGTGAAAAAATGTAGTTGTGCCTGGAGCTGTCAGTCAAAGCAACAACATCCTAATTTTCTGCCTAATAAAAAATGTCCATGTATTGGACATTGAGCATAAGGCAGTAAAATACACCAATTCTTCCCAATTAAGTGGATGTGTGGAACTCAGTGGGTTCAAGTTTTGGTTTTGGAATCAGCTGAACTTGGGTGCACAGCTTCACTGCAACCTGACCAGCTGTGATTGCACAAATTGCTTTATCTCTGAGCTCCATGCCCTTTATCTTTAAGTAGGTAATAATAACATTGCTCATATGATGTTAAAAATCACATAAAGAAAGATGTGAAATACATAGAACTGTGCAGTAGGTAACACCTTAACTAAATATTATTTATAATGCACAAAAGTAGCCAATGATGCATTTATAAAAAGAAGTTTTAAACCTTTTTTACTATTGTTTAATTGCAATGTTAAATGAAATTCACATAATGCTTTTATAACATAATTTGGCATTACTTTTTTATATTTTCTTTTGTAATTTATTTATTATTATTATATTATTGTTGTACAGGGGGTGCATTGTGACATTTACAAATATTCTTACAACATATCATAGTTGAATTCACCCCCTCCATCATTCTCCTTTATTCCCCCTCCTCCCATTCCTGGAATAGTTCCAACAGATCTCATTTTTTAATTTTCATACATGAATATATAATATTTCCACCATATTCACCCTCCCACATCTTTTTCTTATATCCTCCCCCTCCCACTGGTATCAACCCCACACAGGACCTGTTTTACCTTCCTGCTCTCCAGTTTTGAAAAAAGGTGGTTTCATTTGTTTAAGGTAGCTATACAATGAGTCTCACTGCGACATTTTCATGAATTATTATTATAACCCGAATTTGTTCATCCCCTCTATTTTTCTCCTTTCAGTGTCCATTGTGAACATCATGAGCTGTCTCTATCACTACGTTACTGTGGATATTTGGATCGCAGTTTCAAAAGTTTTAAACTGCTGGACTGGGGATGTAGCTCAGTAGTAGAGTGTTTTAGCATGCATTGGATCCCGGGTTCAAACCTCAGCATTCCAATTTTTTTTTAATTTGTAAAAATAAATCTGTAATCCCAGCTACGTGGGAGGCATAGGTAGCAGGATCGCCATCAGATGCAAAAATAAGAGATTCTATTTAAAAAATAACTAAAGCTAACTAAAGCAAAAAAGGGCTTGGGGCATGACTCAAGTGGTAGAGGGCTTGCCTGACAAGCATGAGGTCAAAAACCTGAGTACTGCCAAAAATAAATAAAAATAAAAGTAAAAAGTTTTAAACATATTCTAAAATTTGTAATGGCTTAAAACCAGATAATATTCTAGTAACTTAGCACTATTCAAACTAAAATCTTTATTTTATATACTAGAAATGTCCCTACCTGTAACTGTAATATTTGTGAAAAGACACATAGCTTCAATGTTAAAAATGAAAGCTTTGCCTTTGGTTATGCAGATTTAAATCCTAGTTCTCATCTGCTACATACTTGCTATGTGGTGTTGGGAAAGCTACTTAATATTTGTGTGCTTTAGTTTTCTCATCTGTGGAACTTATTTGACATCTCAGTAACTATATAATAAGATTGTTGTGAGGTGTAAGCAAATTAACACAAGTAAAATCATTGGAATAATCTATAGAAATTGATGGATATCAGCTACTTAGAACCCAACAGCATTTATAGGGGTGGTGGGCTGTCCTGCCCTACCTCTTTGAATTTCAGTGACAGCTCACATCCTTAGGTCCAACTCACAGCTAAATAGTGATGACATGCATATTACCAATCTCTTCCCAAGGAGGCTTGCTGACTACAGGACACCTCTACAAGATTTGTTACTATCAATGCAAATGAAACTTGCTCTTTAGGCAAGAGTTATATTTTAAATGGATCACCAAGACATACTTTTCAAATGAGAACAAGGGCAACATGGAAGGGCCTTAAAATCTACTAAAGTAAAAATAAGCTGTTTTCTTCACAAGTAACACTTTGTGTCAAAGTGTACTGCTTTTTATACACAAATCATCAATAAATTTTAATTGCAGCTTACTTGCATTCCTAAACACAATTTGACTTCACTTTCTGAGAGTAGACAGCACTTTGGAGAAGGCAGGGCAGAGGCCAGGCTCTGTTCCATTATAGAAAGTGAGCATGTAGTGATGTGTGAATTCAGAAGCTTTGGCCACTATGTATCTCTAGGGTCAGCTTCTCACTGAGCAGTGTCCACTCTTTTAGCCTTAATGAAATAGGTACTTCAATTGCTTAGCTTCAGCTTCACCATCTCTTTCCGGGAGTTGGCTACTGGCTAAGGAAGGTGAAAAGGTTAAGCTGTCCCTAAGGGACAAAGAAGAGTGTCAATCCTGGTGCTCATGAGGGAGCCTACTGGGAATGAACTTAGAAGCCAGGGTTTATTTAAGCACCTTGGTATCCCCATGAGAAATGATCTAGCAGACTTTCAAGCTGACAAGGAAGGAGTTCCTTAGAGGCCAGCAGAGAAACAGAAATAAACTATTGGAGCATATTCCCCACCTCTCTATTTTTGTCACTTTCTCTTTCTCTCTCTCTCTCTGTCTCTCTCACTTTCTCTCTCTCTCTCTCTCTCTCTCTCTCTCTCTCTCTCTCTCTCACACACACACACACACTAGGTATATTTACACAGTAAACATCTTCGTGATATGTTGGAATATAAGCAATATTCTCCACAAAAAGTAACCCAACAATACCTCTCTTAAAGAACTGAGGCCCCCTGATTTTCACAGGTTTCCCTACAAACTGCCACCCATTAACATTTACTGGCAATTCCTCAAGTATGAAGTCATAATGTCACACATTATATCTACAAACAAAATGTGAGATAATCTTGAAAATTGTGATTGGAGAAGATAGCAGAAGGCAGTGGACATACTTCAGGACACTTACTTGGGTTCAGCATCTGAGAATTATCTTCAATACTTTGCCTGTTCTTAACTGTCATAGTATGTCTGTTATCACAATGAACCCTGTAAGTTACAGTTGCTCTGCATCTCCATTTAGCTATCAATAGATTTTTTTAAAATCCATATGCTATTATTATTTCGTTTCTACAAAAATATCATTGCTAAAGAAATACACCTCAAGAATATGAATTAGCTCAATATTCTGTGAAAGATGTTTTCATCAAATGCTAATTAAAATGATCTTAGTTGAAAAAACATATCATATGTTTATTAACTCTGAATAATAGCTTCTGCTATGAAACAGCCAAAAGACCCCCAACAAATGAATCCAGAAGTACAGATACTGAAAAGGACATGGCCTTAGATTTTACTACATAAGCACTGAAAAGTTATACTGGGGATAATTTATAAACTTAATCTAATGAAATGTTTCTTTGTCAACCTTTAAAAGACTTGCAAACGTAGGAAAGTGCATAATTTTAGACGTTAAAGGAGACTTGGTGCCATCTTGTGTAGTCCTTGCATTCTCTAGGAATCTCCCACTCAGGGCTAGGAACAGATTCTGTCCTAGAAAGATGCTTGATGACTGTTTACTGTAATAAAATGAAGTTCACTGAAAACATAAAGCTTAGAATTGAAAATAAACCACATGCAATAGACATATTCTATTATTTTCTTTCTCAACATAAAGTTTTAAATAAAAAAAATCTTTAGTCTTTTAAGGTTGAGTTTTACCCTTCTGATTACATACTATCATAGAGATGGTAAATAATTAATTGAAAAGTGTTTAATCAATGTTAGTAAACGTTTGTCTCTCCTATAAATCAGTCAATTCTATTTGGTTGTGCAGATTTCTGTCTGCTTCCTGCAAGTGCCATGAAATCCCCAGGAGAAGGATATCAGGAAATCAATAGAGAAGTATCTTTAATTGATACCTTGTCCTTAGAAATGCATCCTTGGTACACAAGGTGTTGAGCGCTGGGGAATTCTGGAAGAAGTGTTCCCGTTTTTGAGCTAAGCGAATATTTACGAGTAAAACCACCCTATAATTTAGAAAAAAAAAAAAGAATTAAGTCACTATCAACTACGTGGATCCAAAATATTACTCTAATAAGATAGAAAATCATATGATTTCATTTTCCATTACCCTACATATTAGATTTGGGCAAACTGTTTAAGCTATTAAACTGAGTAACCTAGAGAAGTCAGACAAATTGTTCCCAAACCTTATCTAGCTTTGTCATCACAATATTTTTCTTATCACTGTGGATTTTAGTTTTGAATGTTTGCCAATTTTCACAACTAATAGAGATTAAATTGAAATTCAAATTGCTAATAGCATAAATTTGGGATAAACCTACTGTTGGAATTAGAATTATTTTTATTCTAATAGAGGACAAGAAATTATCAAATTTAAGCTCTTTACTTACAAATTTGGTGAATGAGATGATGGGAAGTACATTAATTTATTCAGAATTAGAGGTAAATAGATAATTACTGGTAAAATCTTGATTACAGTCAAAGTCTACTGAATTCCAAAGCAATAATCTAGATTATTTATATCAACTTTTCCCTGCCCTAACTTTAGATATTTGTTGTTCATTTATGTCTCTTAGGGAAGGCACACCTCTAGCAGTTTTCAGAAAATTAGAAACATTTATAAAAATATGATATATATAATGATGCAGTGCTGATGTACCTATATGAAACCTACAGAGAAAGAATGAATGTATATTCGTTCGAACTGGAACCTTAGCAAATGTCTCCCGGGCCATAACTGATTATTCCTGCTCTACAACAAGACTTTAACAAACTAGACTGTAATCAAAATAAAATTGTGAATATGGTAAAGGAAGTGAAGTGTTCCTGACATGGATGAAATTTTATTCTTTTCCACAGTCTCCTCACATTTATTTATATACTCCTTGGGTTTCTTTGTGTATTTCTGTCATGTTAAATATGCTAAACAGACAAAAATTTATTTCTAACATAAATAGACTGGGTTCCCACCCTTTTTTATTATCCTCAGCCTTTGCAGACTTATCATAGAGAAGAAAGAAGTTGGGAGGACTTTTGAGTCCCAGACACCAGATACTTTAAAAACATTGTTTTCATATTGAATGATTTGCTATAAGCTTTTAACAAATTTTATATTGAAAATATGAAAGTACATTTTTTTCAAATTGTTATGTTTAGTTTTAACTTCTGTTTTCAAGCATGATAAAGAGTAATTGTGATTAAATAAAATTTAAAATTAATAAATATTGCATAAGTAATTGTCATAAACTGATAATAGCACAGTTGATCTCAGCCTACTCTATTTAATCTGTCATAATATTCAGGACATATTTCAAAGACTTTGCATGCTTTGGGTTTACCTATATGAGCATTATTATTTCACTGTCAAAGAATAATATTGTCAATCAAGGGGAAAATAATATAGAATGCAAGAAAATTTAAAAATTCTTTAAAGGAAGCAAAATTTCTGATGAAATATAAACCTAATGTTTGCAGAATGCATTTGAATTGTGCATTTAGGAAACAGATGCTTACAAGTTTAAAAGAATTTTGTTAGAAAACAGAAGAGAAGAGATTCTTTCCAAGTCATTAAAGAACATGTAGACCACAACTAGACAAGGATAGAAAATGAAAGAAAATCTCATGCATCCCTATGCTTTCAGCACTTTCAAAAAAATCAGCAAATGAAATACAGCAGTGTGTAAAAATTGTCATGCTAAATTAGGGTTAAACTTATCACATTAACAGAAGAAATGAAGAATACTATATATTATGTAATCATCACAATTGACACAGAAATTTGTTTAAAATCTAATAGCCATTCATTAGTCTCTCTCTGTCTCTCTCTCACTAGAAAGAAAGAAAAAACTTATTTTAAATTTATCTCAAAGAAATTAAATCATTAGACAAAGAATGTGTCAAAAACCCACAAGTATTTTACTCAATGGTAAAATATTATAAACATTTCCTTGTAAGTTACAAACCAGATAAAGTTGCCTGATTTTATCTCCTTTGTATCTCTTCTACTCAACACTATACTGGAGTTCATAAAAAATGAGTAGAAAATGCTTTAAAAAGTAATAAAAAATTAAGTATTGAAAAGGAAGAGGCAAAACTAGCATAATTGTCAGTTGATATGTTAAATTACATTGAAATCCCAAGACAAACCACACAAAAATTGTTACAATTAACTAAACACCTTTCAGGCAACGTTACAGCATGCAAAATCAATTTGAAAGTCAATTGAATTTCTAAAAATCAAGGAATAAACATTAAGAATATTCAATAAAAATATACTGTGTAAAATAACAAATATTAAAATGTGCATGTCTAATGAAAGAAGTGGAAAAGTATAACAAAATGATTAAACTTTATTAAGAGATATGACAGAAGTTATGAATAAAAACAGTCAATCTTTAGAAAATTTCAGTTACACACTATTCATCTTTTCTTCAATGCAATTCCAACAACAACAACAACAAAAATCCCATTAGGGTTTTCCGTGAAATTTAACAAGCTGATTCTAAAATGCATGTGGATGCCCAGGGAGGGGGCTCGATACCAGTGTGTGGGGGGAGGTGACAGGGAAAGGGGATGGGAGGGTGAATACAGTGCAAGTACTGTGTACGCATATATGTAAATGCAAAACTGATACCTTTTGAAACTATTCCAGGAATGGGTAGGGGGGAATAAAGGAGAGCAGTGGAGGGGGTGAATTTAAATATGCTATATTTGATATATTGTAAAAACTTTTGTAAATGTCACAATGTACTCCCACCAGAACAATAATAAAAAAATACTACAAGTTTTTTCTGAGTCCAAAAAATAAAATAAAATGCATGTAGAGTTACAAAGATCAAGATCAAGAATAAACACAACATCAAGGCTGGTGGAATGACTCAAGTGGTTGAGCACCTGCCTAGCAAGCTTGAAGCCCTGAGTTTAAGCCCCAGGATAACAAAATATATAAACAAATAAACAGTTTTTAATTTTAGATTTTTTATCTTTTAGAAGAATTTAAAGGTAGATTAGATCAGGTAAAAGCAAAACACAAGGTTAAAGAAAAAATACATGTGAACCTATAGAGTCCTAGGAATAAAAAGAAAAGAGATTGATGTGAAGAGAGCCTAAGGGACTTGTGGAACACCATCAAGCCAATCAATATGTATGTTGCAGAAGTTCCGTAAAGAGAAGAAAGAAAGAGAAAGTGTGGTGGGGAGGGAAAGAGACTATTTGAAGAAATAAAGACTGAAAAGTTCCCAAAATTGGTGAAAACAAACATGTAAGAACTTCCATTGACTCCACACATGATACCCTCAAAGAGATCCACATTGAGACATACTATTATCAAATGGTGGAAAGACAAAAATGAAGATAGAATCTTGAAAAGAGCATGTCTCAAGTTGTGTATGAGAATTCTCTTATCAAGTTGTCCTCAATAAATATAGCAACACCCTTGGCCATAAAGGAAATGCCAGCTATACATCTGACAAGGGATTAATAACCAGAATTTAGAAGCAGGGAGCTAAAAAAACACAAGCTCCCAAAGAATCAGTGATCCAATGAAGAAATAGGCAGATAAACTGAATAGAAATTTTTTTAAGGAAGAATTACAAATGGTCAAAAAAACACATGAAGAAATGCTCAACATCCCTGCCCATAAAGGAAATGCAAATCAAAACCACATTAAGATTCCATCTCACTCCAGTTAGAATGGCTAACATCAAGAACACAACAACAAATGTTGACGAGGATGTGGGGAAAAAGGAACCTTCATACACTAGTGGTGGCAATGTAAATTTGTACAAACACTATGGAAAACACTATGGACACCCCTCAAAAAGCTAAAAATAGAAGTGCCATATGATTCAGCAATTCCCACTCCAAGGGATATACCTAAAGGAATATAAGTCAGATTACAAGAAAGGCACCTGCACACCCATGTTTCCTGCAGCACTGTTCACAATAGCTAAGCTATGGAAATAGCCAAGATACCCCACTACTGATGAATGGATTAAGAAAATGTGAAAATTTGATATATGAGATATATGTGTGAAATTTTATATAGCCATAAAAAAATGAAATGTTGCTGTTCACAATTAAATGAATGAAACTGGAAAACATCATGTTGAGTGAAATAAGCCAGGTTCAACAGGGCAACAGTCACATGTTTTCTCTCTTATGTGGAAGATAGATCCAAACACAAATAAAGGCATTATCATATACTATGTATATCATATATAATATATATTATGATATTTTATATATATAATCTGTTTCCAATAGTGGAACTGTTAGAGGAGACCAGGAGAGAAGGAAAAGAAGAAGAGAATGATAGTAAATAATAAAAATTAAAATGTCATTCAGTACCATGTGTAAGAATGTTGTGCAAAGGGAATTTTCATACACAACTGGAGAGACTTAAATTGATACAACCATTTTGGAAAACAAAGGCCTTGATTAATAAAGTTAAACATGAGTATGTGCTGGGATCTGGAATTTCACTTCTGTCCATACATACCTGGAGAATGCTCATGTCACTTTTGCTTTACATGTTTAAAAATTCTATTAATAGAATAAATGAATGCATTGTGATATTTTCTTACAATGGAATAGTATAAAACAGTATAAATAAATGAAGCAGAGCTACATTCTTCACATTCTTCAATGCTACAGATTAGCCTTGAACAATCACAAAACTTAAAAGTTGAATGAAAACAGGAAGTCATAGAAATAATCTTTTTATATAGGTTAAAACTGGGAAAATAATAAGTGCTACATTGTTTAGGGATACATTCAAAAGTGATAAACTTTCAACAAAAGCAAATGAATGAGCAACCTAAATTCTGGAGAGAGATAACCTATGGTAAGTAAGAAGGAGAAAATAATGGGTAAAGTCTGGACTTCCATTACTATGGGGTGAAGTCTTGAGCTTTCATCTTCCAGTTATTTAAAAAAAACCAAAAACCTCTATGTATGTGTGTAAAGGGGCTGTTCCAAATAACACATTTCCAAGTAAAAAAAA